AGGGGACACTGAGGCAGGGGGCGGGGGGGGGGTACACTGCAGCCCCCCCGTTCTGCACGGGATATTTTGGGGGGGATTATTTGGGGTTTTTTGTCTTCCCACCGAGTGAGAGGGCGAGGGGGGCAGACCCGGCCCCTGTGGCCGTGCTGGGGGTCCCCGCTGTCCCCTGTGCGGGGAGGGGGGGACAGGGGACACCCCTGGTCCGCAGTGTGGGGGGCTCGGGGGCAGCAGGACCCTGCAGATGTGTGATTGTCCCCTCCCCGTGTCACCTCCGGCCCTTTGTGCGTGACGAGCGGTGACGCGACACGGGGGGGCGGCCCCCCCACGACCACCCCTCCCCTCCCCTTCCGCCACCGCCCCCCCCGCAGGTCCCGCTCGTGTCGCCGTCCCCACGGGTGGGCACACGCGTGTTCCCGTGTGGCTGCTGCCCGTGCCGGGGGGGCCTCGGCTGTCCCCAAGTGTCCCCAAGCGTCCCCCCCATCCCTCTGAGAGGGGGCACCGGGACAAACCCGCCCTGGGGACACCTCAGGGTCCCTCCGGGGGACACGGGAGCCCCTCGGCAGCCCCGCAGCTCCCGGTGACGGGAGGTGGCGGTGGAGGGGTGTCCCCTGCGGGACCCCCCCGAGGCCCCCCCGGCCCCGCTGGCTCCGTCAATCAGCGCTGGCCCCGTTCCGGGAACATGGAGGGCCCCGAGCTGCTCCGGCTCTGGGCGCTGGCAGGCGAGTGACAGCTCTGTCACCCCCGGGGGACACGGCCCGGGACCCCCGGCAGGGAGGGGAAGGGAGGGGGGATCCCAGAGTGGGGAGGGGTCGCACAGGGGGTGCAAGGGGGGGTAGGACGGGGGGGAACGGGGTTGGGACGTGACAGAGCTAAAAAAAACCGCCCTGTCCCGGGTGCCAGCGGGGTCTGGACAGGGTGGGGACATCAGAGGGACTTTGTGTGACGGCCAGGCCGAGGGAAGGTGCTGGGCCCATCCTGTCCTCGTCCCCATCCCCTCCTGAACTCCTCCGGCTCTGCCTGGGGACACCTGGCCCTGCAGGGACCTTCCTGCCCCTCGGAGTGTCCCCAGGGCTCTCTGGGCACCTGCGGCTCGTCCCGGCGTCCCTGGGCACTGGGGAAACTGAGGCAGGGAGGAGCCGTGGTCCCAGCCCTGGCCTCAGCCCCGTGTGTGGCCACAGCCCTGGCCCTGGGGGTGTCCCGGGCCGCTGTCCCCGAGCACCGCGTCCTCCCCGACCTCCGCCTCTCGGCCGAGACCGGAGCCATCTTCGTGCACGAGCTGGAGCGGGAGCTGTTCCTGGAGGCCTTCTCTGGGAGCGAGGATGATGATGGTGAGGGCCGGGATGGGGGACTGGGGGACTGGGGGTGGTAAAATGGGGGGCACTGGCCAATGGTCCCCGCCAGGTTTGCCCCAGCTGGGCTGTCCGTCTGTCCATCCGTCCGTCCACCCCTCCCCTCCACACATTTGGGGCTCCCCCAGCACCGCCCCAGCCCCTTGGGGGGTCCCTCCATGAGGGATCCCCTCGATTTGGGGCCACAGCTCAAAAATGGGAGCGGCACCCCCAGGGCCTTCCCTTGTGGGGAGCAGCAGGATGGGGCCAGGCTCCCCGGGCAGGGTGGGGGGCACAGCCGGTGACATTCCGTGCCCG